GTCACGTTGAGCCTCTGGCCACCTTGGACACCCCCGGAGCCGCACAGCCTCGCGCCGCGCCTCGCCTCACCTGGCCTCGCCACCACGAGCCTTTGGGAACTCGCATCCTCTCCCTTCCCCGGCTCATCCATGGGCCCTTCTGTCTTCCGGACCTCGGGAGCCGGTGGAGCGCCTTCTAGAGCGCAGGGCTTGGCGGCCGGTCTGCCCTTGGCTCTGCCTCCAGTAACGCGGAGGACCCGACGCTGGGCACCCGCAGCCCCGTAAGGAACTGAGGCAGGACCGCGGGGGCTGAGGCGGGAACAAGCTAAAGAAGAGGGAGGCGAGCCAGGCACAGCCACCATGGCCTTCCCGCACTTTGGACACCCGTATGGCAGCGCTTCCCAGGTAAGAGGCGCCTCCTTGGGGGGCGGGGGCGACTGGATGGAAGGGGTACCCAGTGCACCCGCCTGTCCCTGAGCGCCCTCCTCTCGAGTGGGTCTCCCGGGAAACCAGAGGCAGCAGGGACCAGGTAACTCTGACATCCTCAGGTCCTAGCCGGGAACCTTCCACTCCCCCAGCGCAAGCTGGAAAATCGGGTGACCCGAAACTTGGACCCTCTGACTCTGCGCTCAGCGAGGAGGGTGGTGCCTCTGAGAGCTTCCAGACAGGCCTCCTTACTGTGCAGATAGCCTCCGAGGCGGCCAGGAGGGTCTCAGGAAAGGAGACTCCCAGTCCAGGACGCTGTCCATCGCACAACTGTCCTGCTGCTGTTCGTGGTTGACCTCTGTTCTTGTCTTCCCCCTTCCTTGGGTCGGTCCAAGCTCTCAGCTTCTGGTTCCTCCAGTTTCACAGGCCAGTGTGGGTGTTGCGCAGGGCCCAGGGTTTCCTGGAGGAATTCTGGGGATGCCCACCACTGTTCTCCAGTTTCTCTCCAGACCGTGGGGTGTATCTTCCTGGGGTCTAGTCCCTGCCCGACCTCTGACCCGCTTGGTGACCTTGGGCCGGTCTGCACTTACTGGGTCCTCACGCCCTTTCTGTAAAATGTGTGTCTGTCTGTGTGAGACGTGACGAAGGTCTCCAAGGCCAACTTCTAGCTCTGCCTCTGCAGGACCCTGTGATGGGGAAGGGGCGGGGGTCTGCGAGGGAACCAGCCGGGTGGGTTTCCGGATGTCCTCCCTGGCCGGACCCCGTGGGAACCTGAAGCCCTAGCAACAGCTTAGGAGTGTCTCTAAGGGCAGTTTAGATGAATCGGGTCTTCGGATCATTCCTGTTCAGTGCTCGGCAGAATGCTCGGCACGCGGTGGCATTTAGGTGATGTGGAATGAAGGAGCCGTCCGGCGTTCGGGTCTCTGACCTCCCATGCCTTCTCTCCCGCCCCTGTAGTTTCTGGTGTCTGCAAATTCCAGCGCCACTTGCTGCGAATCCTCCCCGAGCTCTGTCCCAGATGTGGCCTCGGGCTCCACCCCGCCGGCGGCTCTCTGCTTAGCACCCTATGATAGCCGGCTGCTGGGCAGTGCGCGGCCGGAGCTGGGCACGGCCTTGGGCATCTATGGAGCCCCCTACGCGGCCGCTGCAGCTGCTCAGAGCTACCCTGGGTACCTGCCCTACAGCCCGGAGCCACCCGCGCTGTATGGGGCGCTGGTGAGTGCAAGGGGTGGGACCTGGGTCTGTGCGCCAGAACCCACCCGCCCAGGGGCAGAAGCCCCAGCAGTTGCTGGTGAAATCCATTGTGACATCTAGGAAGGACGCCCAACTCCGAGGACAGGCAGTGGTTAGGATTGTGAGAAGGGGAAAAGCCCATCTTTGCACCATGTTGCAGTTTGCAGAAGCCCGTGCTGCTTAGGAAACATTTGCATCTCTATTCATACACGAGGTGGGCAAATCATCACTTTCTTCAATGTGCCGCTGAGGAAGCTGAGGTCAATACCTTACCCAGAGTCACTGAGATACCCAGGGTCAGGGACCAGCTTTGCTAGAAACTGAGGCAGGGAAGTCCCCCAGCTGGTGGGGGGAGGGGAGGGACACACAAGGGGTAACAGTAATAATAACCGCTAACATGTAACTACTGCTTATGCTGCACCAGGAATTCTGCCCCGCGCTCTTCTTCAATAGCCTATAGGGACCATTATTATGATCCCCAGTTAGCAAGGGGAAGCGGAGGCGTGGAGTGGTGAGCAACTGTTCCCAAGATCACACCGCCAATGCGAGGTCGTGGGTACTGGAATTTAAACCAGACCAGACTCCTCTGGAGTTTACACCCTTAGCCACTGCCCCGCCTCGTCTCCTCCCCACATGGTGGGAGAACTGAATTCTGTCTCCCTCCCCCACCAGAACGCACAGTATGAATTTAAGGAGACTGCAGGGACCTTCACACCCAGCCTGTCACAACCGGGAGCCTATTGTCCCTATGAGCCGACTCTGGGGCAATACCCCTATGACCGGTAAGGTGTGGGGGGCACTGGTGGCTGGCATGGAAAGTCCTGCCCCGTCCACTGCCCTGGTGGGGCTGATCTGGGCAGCGAGTGGGAAGGGGGATGAGTGGGGAGGGATGGGTGCAGAGCCCATTCCCAAGCCACACACCCTCTCCCGCCTGCTGCCCCAGGTTGCCGGGTTCTCTCCCCGCAGGTATGGCAGCGCCGTGGAGTTGACTGGTGCCGGACGCAGGAAGAACGCCACCCGGGAAACCACGAGCACGCTCAAGGCCTGGCTCCACGAGCACCGCAAGAACCCCTACCCCACCAAGGGCGAGAAGATCATGCTGGCCATCATCACCAAGATGACCCTCACGCAGGTCTCCACCTGGTTCGCCAACGCGCGCCGGCGCCTCAAGAAGGAGAACAAGATGACCTGGGCGCCCAAGAACAAAGGCGGGGAGGAGAGGAAGGCGGAGGATGGGGCCCAGGAGTCGCTGGACTGCCTACACGCCGGCGACACCAAAGGTACCAGCAGTGAGCACCACCCCAGCTGCCTTCGGGGTAGCTTTTATGGAAGGCACTGCTAGCTGACTCTGGCTCCTGCATCCCCTGCAGGCCTCAAGGCCGGTGCCTGCTGGTACCTTCTGTCCCGCCTTCCCTACAGAACCAGTTTCTTCTGGACTTTAAAGTGCCACCTCTGCAGGGCCCTTCCTGGCCGCCTAAGCCAGCGCAGCCCTCTAGTTCTTCTCTGTGGCCAGCCCCTCTTATTTCCTTCGCCACCTTCGCACTGTGACCCCTTCAAGAACCTCAGTGCCTCCAGAAGCCCTTTCCCTGAATGAATGCCTAGGTGATGTCTGGCACATCCTTAGCCCTTCGTCCATATGTGCTGAATCACATCCTACCCACCAGCCACCTGTGCACATGGAAATGCGGGAGAAATTATCCCCTTGCCTTTATATGGTTGAGAGATGGAGACCCAGGTCTAGCGACAGCAACACGATGTGGGTTCCCCTGGCCTGGGGGCGAATGGAGAGGAGGAGACGTTCGGTGGGGTGGGGTGGGGTCAAGGCTCTGGCCAGGGTGAGGGCTGGTGTGGTCAGTCTGGTGGATGACTCCCAGAATGCCCTGAGAGCAGGGCGCATCTCGCTAAAAGCTTTGGGGATGGGCACTCCCGCGGATTTCCCTGGGGGCCTGGCGCTTTTCTCACTCCCTCCTGATGTTCTGCAGACCTCGCTGCGAGCCGGGAAGTTCGAGGATTCCGGCTGAGTGACCCGGAGGACCCGGAGGAAGAAGAGGGGGAGGAAGAGGAGGAGGAAGAGATAGAAGAGGAGGCAGCGGTCCCAGCTATGGACAGGCTCGCTGAGTTCCACCATGACGCGCAGGCGCGGGCGACGTCGGGAGACGCTGACTTCCTCCGGGCGGAGCCAGGGGCCCCCACGCTGACCACGCACTACCCCTGCAGCCAGAAGCCGCGCATCTGGTCTCTGGCGCACACGGCCACAGCCAGCGCTGTCCAAGGGGCACCTCCCACCCCGCCCAAGCCGCGAAGCCCCGAGTGCTGCCTGATTCTCCAACAGCCCGCAGGCCCGGGCGGGCGACCCCAGGTCCTCAGAGACTCCGCGCGCGACGAGCCCGGCCGCGTAGCCAAAGCCTTTGGAAAGCCCACGTTTGCGATGCAGGGGCTGCCCCTGAGCTGCGCCCCGTGCCCGCGGCTGAGGGAGCCAGCAGGGCAGTGCCAGTACCCGTCGGGAGCAGAAGGTAGTGGGCCCCCAATGGCGCTGGGACTGTGTCCAAAAGACGCCTGCCCGTGTGCTGCCCAGCCATGGCATGCCCTCTCAGACCCTTGGGCACGGCCGGGGTCCACCTGGCACGAGATGGTCCCACAGCACTCTTTGAAACGGAAGCTTAGAGACAGCGGTTCTAGCGTTCCCTCATTTTAAAGCCAAATAATAGTAATAAGCTACGAGTGAGACAGTGACATGCCTGGGGTCACCTAGAAAGTCACTGAGGAGATGGGCAACCTACCCCTCTGCACTGGCACCCAGTGACCTGCCAAGTGCACCAGGTGGGCACCATCACGACCCTCTGGCACAGGTGCCCTGGCCCCCCTGCCCGCCCTTCGGAGGAGGGCAGTGAGCCCCTGCCATGCCAGGGTTGGGCAGGCACCTGGGCTCCCTGGAAAGTGTGAAGGGCAGGGCCAGACGCACACAGTTTGCAAGGCCGGTGCTTAAGAGACTTCCAATCCTCTCTA